TTATTAGTAAGATGTGGTTATCAAAGTTGTGTTTGATAGTTATGATGAACAAATGACGTTTGATAAATAAATGATGTTTAATAAATTATTTTGATGTTATGAGATGTTGTTAATTGAGATGTTTTGAGATGATTGAGATGTTGTTGTTTTGAGATGATTGAGATGTTGTTGTTTTGAGATGATTGAGATGTTTTGAGATGATTGAGATGTTGTTGTTTTGAGATGATTGAGATATTGTTATTTTGAGATGATTTGAAATGTTGTTAACTTGGGTGTCGTTATTACATTCATGATGAGTCGCATACATTTAATTTTTGAGATGGAGCTTATGCTCGTTGAGATGGCCTGGATTGGCAAATTTTGAGATGAAGGCTATGCCTTGTTGATGCCTCTATTAATTGGCAGATTTTTGAGATGGGAGTTCTGCTCCAATGGTACCACATGCATTTGCATGGTTTTTAGTCGCATTATATGATTGAATAACGAAATGTATTTGATGTTTAGGAATGAGTATATCATGCGCTTTATGATATTGTTAGATATCTCGCTCCTTCTGTTTGAATGTTGCCCTTATGTTGGTAACATGCAGGTAATCGAGAGTGAAGGTTGTATACCTTCAATAGTTCGAGTCGGTATCATTGCTCTGATATGTAACATTCGGGGGGATGAACGCTTGCTGATTTTTTATTGTTGATTTTCAGTTGTTGACTTTTAAATTGAATTATTATTAATTACGAGATGTTTTGAAGTTGTTGTTTCATTTAGAGATGTTATTGAAGAATTCCGCTGCGTAGTTGTTGAATCATTTAATGAAAGATGTTATGTTGATGGTTCATCCAATGTTTTGAAAAAGTGTTATATATCCATGATGAATGCAATGAATTTATTAGACGAATTTGTGACGTTCCGATTCATTTGTATGATTGAAATTTTATAACTCTGATTTATTTTGCATAATTTGCTTGGGGTAGAATTGGGGTGTTACAAAGGGTGAGATATCGAACAATATAATAGAACACATGATAAATAGTATATTAGAATCATTTCATACAAAATCATCACTTCACAGCTCTTCAACAACATTTAACATAATCAATTCATCCACACAACAACTCAGGATGCAACATGAAATGCAACTTGTTTTTATGCACATGCATGTGGTACCAACGGAGAAAAACTCCCAACTTAATAATCTGCCAATTAATAGAGGCGTTAACAAGGTATAAGCCTTCAACTTAATTTGCCAATCTAGGCCAACTTACCGAGCATCAGTTTCAACTTGATATGTTATGTATGCGACAACAGTATGAACGTAGTAACAACAACAATAATTCAACAACAACTCAACACAACTCAACATTGGCCATAAGCCTACAACTTAATATCTTCCAATAATTAGAGACATCTCAACAAAATTCATCATCACTCGCCAATTCTCAAATTATAACAAAGTATACAATACACTGTATTAAACAAAATATACTACGATGTTCTGCGTAATTATTCGGGTAATTCGACTACATACTGCTAGATACTTATTAATTATATTATCTCCCCTGCTACTAACTTATTTAACTAGAATTCATTAATCATATAGGGATAGAATACCTTAAGACTTCTAATTATTATACTGAGATTATTAAACTAAATTAAATAATTAATTAGCCTGCACATGAGCACTAAGGAATAAGAAAGGAATGTGTACCCTTCAGTGTGCACAGGAATAACAGAAGTGACATTAATAACGACGTGTGCCCCTCGACACAGTGGCCATGCCTCTCGACACTTTCCCCTCATGCCTCTGTATCGACCGACAACCCTATACATACCGCACATCGCATAACCTTGTGCCGCTCGACACAACTACCTATTCCCTCGGCGCACCTTGCAGCCTTATGTCGCTCGACATCTAGCACATGTGCTCCTCGGCACATCTTGCAGCCTTATTCCGCTCGACGCAAATACCTGTGCTCCTCGGTACAACGCGTCTTCACATTTTTTCTTGGAATTCATCCAGTCTGTGATAAACGTTAACCCAACCTTACAGTAATCTCTTCGACCATTAATTTCTGACCAACCACATGGAATAACATAGAAACGAGGCAATTATATCTCCTACTAATAAATTTATTGATTGTACAAGACAATCATTCATAAGATTTCTAAACGATCACAACGTAAAAATTAGAAGCTTTCAAGAACAGGCCCAGAAAATCAACGCACAACAATTATACCCACGACCAACCCCTACACAATATTCATCATAAGCCCCATTATAAGGTCATAACTCCATCCTTACCTTGGATTGAAGGTTGCTCGACAACTCTCCGACCGAAACCTTGCTATGCTCTTCTCTTTATTCCTCTTCTCTGCAACTTCTCACTACCAAATTTCTAACAACTTCTCAATCAACCCTATTCCTTATTTTAAATAGAACTCCAAAATATTATTATTCTTAATGGTCTTAACAACACACCCACTATCTCTACTTCTAACCATTAAAAATAGACCCAACATAATTATTCTATTATTCTACTAATTCTAGTATTATTACTACTATTAATCAACTAGTTAATTAACTAGTAATAATCTAGCAACTTATACCAACAATTCACAATATCTCACAACTTCAATGAATAATTCGAAAATAATTTAATTAAATAATTAATTAAATTAACGGGCGTTACTCCAGCCACACGAGGACAACCACCCAGGAATGGCCAAAATCATCTTTGCCCGTGGGCACCTCTCTACTCGTCATAACGGCCAGCTTCCTCCTCGGTCTGCTCGACACCCATAGGGTAGACATCCAGGAAACACTCATAAACACTTCTTGTCTTTATCTCATCCTTGCTCGATGCAACGACTAGTTACGGGCATGACTTCCCATTTTGACCAAGTCCTAGCAGTTACCTATTTTTAAGGACCCATATATCTAGGCCCGAAAATAGGGACCAATGGCCAAGCGCTTGTGGAATTATATAAACCCTCACAAATGTGAGGGCCGGGTATCTAATATTCATCTCTAAAACCCTAATACTTTGCTTGTATCTCTTTGCTCCCACACTTACTTGATCTTCAGAGTGCCTTGCAGGTACAACCCCCTTTTTTCTCAATTCTTCAGCCCGTCAAAGATCATCCTCTGGCCAGCTTGCAGGTTCTGATCAACCAGTAAGATCACTAACAATTACAAATTTGTCAATAGTTTGATGTTTTTCGTCCCCATTTCGACTGCTAACCGGGACCTGTAATGAAAGCTTCATATTCGACATGGTTATTGGTAATGATGAAATAAAAACACATGGACACTTCAATCATCTGAACCGACTTCATTTTCCAAAGTGAGACCGACCCCGCTTCCTCTGCTATTGGATGACCCATTTGTGAATACGGTCCAGATATTGGCTGGTTCATGAATGTCCAAAGTCATTTCTACTATGAAATTTTCATACTATTGGGCCTTCTTTGATTTCATAGGCTTAAAGGAGATGTTAAACTTATGTATCTTTACGAATCATTTGGATAGCTGCCTTGGCAAATTCGCATGTGGATAATTGGTTTTAGTGGTAAATCAATATGAACAACGACAACATGTGCTGGAAATAAAATTGTAGTTTTCTTGTATGGACTCACTAGCACTAAAGCTGCTTTCTTTATCTTTTGATAACTTGTTTCAGGTCCAGTCAACGACTTATATATAAAGTACACCGAGCTCAGACAAGAATCCACTTCTTAGATGAGGACGACACTGACTGCTTTAGTAGTGACAACTGGATAAATGAAAAGAAAATTCAATGGCTAGGGGTCGAGATAACACCAGTAGGGTTGATAAGGTTTTCTTGACTAATATGTATGCTTGCTCGCACTCTAGAGTCCACTCATAGTGTGCTTCTTTCTTTGGTAACTTTTAAAACAATAACGTGTGTTAGTCCGACCTCGAGATGACCTATTCACATTTATCTGAGTTTGCTTCTATATCTATCTCTGTCAAGTAGAAGCCCAAGAGTTTTGCGACTCTTACTCTCAAGGTACATTTCTTTAGGTTCAGTCTCATGTTGAACTGTCAAACATGTTGGAACACGCCAACTAGGTGTTCAACTTGTAATCTTTGGATGGATTTGACGATCGTATCATCTATGTAAACTTATCTCTTATTTGAAAATTTTATTCATCATCCTTTAATATGTTGCTCATGCGTTATTTATTCTAAATGACATGACATTATAGTGATAATTAACTTGTCCGATCATGAAGGATCTTTTAACCCTATATATTTCTGTACACTTCAAACATGAATGTCAACAGTAGAGGTGTTTAAAATTGAATCGGTCCAATAGAAAATCACAAACTGAACCAAACTAAACCGAAATCATAAAAAATTACATTTGTTTCGGATGTGTTTAAGCCATTTTTAATAAAACCGTACGGTTCAGTTCAGTTTACAGTTTGTATTTTACAAACCGAACCAAATTGTATTATGTTACAACTCAAACTTCACTTAACACACTTCCTTTTCGAACTCAAACCTATTATGCCTTAACCTTATAATTACAAATGATTTTCTCTTTCTTACACTTAAAGCTTCAACTTAAGTCTTTTCAAATCTCTCATAGCGGTATCACGTCTCGTATACTTTTCCACGTACATTATGCCTCTTATTCTTTAGTCTCTCGTCTTTTATATTCTTTCTTTTTCATTTTTTTATTTTTATTTTATTATTCTCTCTTTCAATTACATTCTTGATGCACTTTTTCTTCTGTAATCTCTTATCTCTTGTAATCTTTCTTCCGAGTATTAACTTGTTGAACAAATTAATTACTATGACTAATCCATTTGATTTTTTGTCATCCGGATCTTTCTCAAATTCTTTCCGTATAAAAACCCTATAACAAAAAGAAAGAAAGAAAACATTAGTTCAAAATCAGACACCGACTATAAATTTTCACATCACCCTAAAACCCCACTAAACCCAAAAAATCTCAATTCAATCACCACAAAACATGTCGTCATTTTTTTCTTCCATCACCTCTTCTTCTTCGGAAACCAACCTATTAACCGCAAGAACCATTATCTCAACTGCCGCCACCTATGCCGCCGCTGCAGCCGCCTCCGCAATGATAGTCCGTTCATTTACCAACGAGTTTTTACCAACGGACCTCCGTCACTACATATACACCAGAATCAAACACGCTTTCTACCGTCTCTCCCCTGACCTAACAATGGTAATCGAAGAATTCGAAGGCCTCGACACCAACCAAATCTACTCCGCCGCCGAAATCTACCTCGGCACCATAGCTTCACCGTCAACCAAAAAACTCCGCGTAAGCAAATCCGATCACCAACAATCCTATACTCTCACAATGGAACGTGACCAGTCCGTAACCGATTACTTCAAAGGCGTTAAACTCAACTGGACTCTGTACTGCCGCCACGTCGAGAATCTCCACCACAACCGCGACATAACCGCCACTTTGAAATCGGAAATCCGTTCTTTGGAACTAACATTCAACAGAAAGCACCAAAACCTGGTTCTCGATCAATACATTCCGTTCATTCTTGAAGAAGCAAGATCAAAGAAACAAGAACTGAAAGCGCTGAGAATATTCACCGTTGATCACCAGAATCTGTACGGGAATTTGAACGACGCGTGGGTGGGGACCACGCTGGATCATCCGTCGACTTTTGACACGCTGGCACTTGACCGTGATTTGCGGGAGTTTGTTACGGGGGATTTGGAAAAGTTTGTTAGGAGAAAGGAATATTACAGGAGAGTTGGAAAAGCTTGGAAGAGAGGCTACTTGCTGTATGGTCCACCTGGAACTGGGAAGAGTAGTTTGATTGCTGCTATGGCGAATTACTTGCATTTTGATATTTACGATTTGGAACTTACTGAATTGAATAGTAATGACGAACTTAGGAGGTTGTTGATCTCGATGCCGAATAGGTCTATCGTTGTTGTTGAGGATATTGATTGCACAGTTGAAATTCAGGATCGTAATTCACAATCGTTACCCCTCTCTGGCAGAAGTAGAGATAGACAGGTATTCAGAGATTATGTTTAATTTATTCATTTTATATAAATAGTCGGTCAGCGTCGTGTTCCTGGTTTTTTGTGTATGAGCTTCATAGTTTGTGGTGTTTAAGTTAAGGGTGTTTTAAAAAGTTTCAATAATTTAATGGACAGGTTACACTATCTGGGCTGCTGAATTTTATTGATGGGCTATGGTCAAGTTGTGGAGATGAGAGGATTATAGTGTTCACAACAAACCATAAGGAAAAGCTTGATTCGGCATTGTTGCGGCCGGGTCGAATGGATGTTCATATACACATGTCCTATTGTACTCCCTATGGTTTTAGGCAGTTGGCTTTCAATTACCTTGGGATTAAAGAAGATCCTCGGTTCTGTGAGATTGAAGAGAAAATTGAGAAAACGCTTGTGACTCCAGCTGAAATAGCAGAGCAGCTTCTTAAGGGCGTTGAGATTGGAACTGTTCTTGAAGATCTGTTGGTTTTTCTTACTAAGAAGAAAGAAAGTCAGGAAGTTGAGGCTAAAAAGAGAGAACAAGAGGAGCTGAAAGGTGACAGTGATGATAGTTAAGAAAATGGTGCCATTGCCTTCAGATTGAAATTGTAAAAGGTGGAGCAATTTAGTCATTCAAATTAACAAAATTAGCAAATTAGTTCTTGTGCGCATTTGTTGTTCTACTTTGAAACTTCTTACGATTTTGATCCACTTTTTCTGTTTTATCTCTTGTCAACTTGAAGAGAAAGCTTACTGCAATGTATAACAAAAAGATTGTTGATCGAGAGTAGCTACTATGTATCTACTGCATATTAATTTTCAAGTAGAGCACTAATCAGTTGTAATTAGTTCTAGCTAAAATGTATACTACTTGGAAGCTTACTCAAAAGCGTGGGAGAGTAAAAACAAAACAAAAAAACAAAGTCTTTATATTCATCCTGTTATAATAATTAAAATTATTATTATATTTGAAATATCTTAATAGTCAAAATTAGAATAATAATGACAAATTATTGATGACGTATAATTTGTCAAAGATAGAATAATAATATCAATTATTCACTTAATATAATATTAATATTGTACTAGTATAAATATTTCCTTTTATAAATGTAAATGTACACACCAAGTCTTCTTTGAATAAAAATAAGTAATACTCTTCCACGTTTCCATCATATATCTCTTAAGTTAGATATATCATATAGTGTCTATATAGTTTAATTAGGTTAAATTTATAAATATTATCATAGTTTAATTTAAATATCTAACTCTTCTCAACACGTTATCAGCACGATCGTTTCTATCAGAAATTTTTACTACACTAGGTATATATTCTATACTTATTTCTTTAATTTTATTATTAATATTATTATTATTAATGTTATTATTATTATTATTTGTTCCGATTATAGAAAATTGACAACTAGTCAAATGTCTATAATAAGTGTGGCTATTCTTATTATAAATTCAGTGTGCAGGTTTAAAACCCATGTGTCATTATTAACATTTATATTTATGCAATTACTAACTTTTATATTTTATGGAAGTCTGAGACTCCATATGCAATTAGTAACATTTATATTTATGCAATTACTAATTTTTATATTTAATGTAAGTTTGAGACTTCATATGCAGTTACTAACGTTTATATTTAGTGGATGTTTAAAATCCCGTATGTTGTTACTAACCTTTATATTTAGTGGGGGTTTAAAATCTCATATGTTTTTATTAACCTTTATATTTAGTGGAGGTTTAAAACTCTATATATTGTAACTGACTTTTATATTTAGTGGAGGTCTAAAACTCTATATGCATATACTATTTTTTCATCATATGTGTTCATTTATCTTATATGTTATCTCATAATTAACTCTATCACTTATAATGGTTAGATGACATTTAACACACTTAATATTTGACTAAATAACTTGCAACACACTTAACCTTTTTATTTTTCTTTTTCCTTTTTCCAAACGGTAACTACAACTGCCATTTTACAAAGTTACCTCTATAAATACTTCAACTTCTTTCATAACTTTCACATCATTCTCAAAATATTTATTCATATTTTTTAAATGGTTAAATTTCTTATTTTTGTCATCACTTTGCTTGTCATTATTTTGTTTCTTATGGGTATTATCCATCGCGAAGAATTAGGTAATGATTTTATAGTTTTGATGATAATTATTGTCTTATCATTACTAGCCATAGTTTGGTTTATTAGTAGAGATTTTGTAATTGAATAAATTTTTTTTTTTGTTTTTTGTTTATACATTAAATATTGATTATTTTCATCTGAACTATAGATATAATCATGTCAAATCTTAAGCATCAATTTAAAATTCTAAGCATAACTGAGGACAACTTCATAACTTGGAACAACAATCTAATTGAGAACCTTACATGTGAGGGACTTAACAAAATACTTGAAGGAGACAATTCTAGAAAACCAACATACGATCCAGATGAGATAGAAAAGAGAAAATCAAAAGTGAATAGAATAATCAAGCACCATCTTGGTGATGAATTACAAACAGAATATTCAAATGCTAAAGATCTCAAGATTTTGTGGGACAAAATTAAAACAAGATTTGGATATCAGGAAAAAAAAAGTCTTGTTACTATCATTAATGGATCAGTGGAACAAGTTAAGGTTCCAAGATTACAAAAGTGTCATTGCATATAACTCTAATATGCACCAGGTTATAGCACAGTTGGAATTTTGTGGCACAACTATAACTGAAAAAGAAAAGTTGGAAAGTTTTTTTCAAATTTTCATGCACAGGTATTATTGCAACAACAATATAGAATGAGAGAATTTACTGAATATTCTGATTTAGTTGCAGCTATTCTAGTGGCAGAACAAAATAACGAGCTCCTTATAAAAAATCACCAGTCATGACCCACATGAATAATAACATATTCTGAAATTAATGCCACAACCTTTAATCGTGGGCGTATTGGATTTAATCGTTTTAAGAGATGTGGTGGTTATGCTCGTTTTAATGGTAATAATGGTCGTGCTCGTTTTGATGGTCACAGACAAGGAGGATATCATGGTCGAAACCTTTTTCGTGATCAAAACCATTTTCGTGGTAGAGGACGTGGACGAGGTCATATGAATAATTTTAGATCTCCCAGATATGACCAAAATAATTGGAATCGCCAGGGAAAGGGTAAGTATACCCAAGAAGTGAAGGTGTGAGAAACACAAGAAATAGGAGTTTGAGTTGGGTTTCACCAAATAAAACCTTTTCGTTGATGACAAACCAAGTACGCTTAGAACATAAAACAGTAAATGAACACAATGATTTTTATCCTGGTTCATTATTAACTAAGCTACTCCACTCCACCCTCGCAAGGATGATTTCGCCTTCAACGAAGACTTAATCCACTATAACTAAACTGATTACAGAACAACCCACAACAAGTCTGATAAACCTTATTGGCACCCCCAATAAGTCAGTCAGTCTTTACTTTAAATTCACTCAAGCCGCAATAGGAGTCTTCTTGAGCTCAAACCTTCACTCAGTCTCTCAAGGTATCATTCAACAAAAGTTGAGTATTGTCAGTGTATTACATATTTGCTTCTTGTAAGCAGATTACACAAAAAATTTAGTATAATGAAGAACACCTAAGTGTTCTACCGCAAGATACGAGTAACAAATCCTTGCTTATTTACAAAATTATACACAGATAATTTCTCTACCGAGTTTGCACAGTGCTTTGGTGTAGTTTTGTTGAGCTTGATTTGAACCAGTAGATTTGTCGTTGTAATGTAGTTGGTTACTTTTCTTCATCTTCCAAGTCTTCCTTTTATAGCTTGTAAAAGAGATACGTTGAAAGGGTAGAAAGGTAAATCTAAAATTTAGTTGTTGGTTCTCAATGGTTATAATGAGAGTAGTCATTGTCAAGTACAAAGTAATTGTCCTTGTGCCACTCTAGAAAAGTAGAGGTCAAAGTCACTTTATGTACCTTTTGTACACTATCACACGTTAACCATTTTGAACTTTTCTTCGTTATCTACAGAGGCTTAAGATATTTGGATGTTGAACATCGAAGCTTGTTGTATAAGAATCTTTCTTAAGCCTTAGAACCTAATTCTTGGAGTCTTCAGAACTTGTCACGTAGAACATTGTCTTCAGAGTCTTCAACACTTGGTTGTAAGAACTTCATTTTCTTTATATCATAAGAACTTATTCAACAGAACCTTGTCTTCATAATCTTCAGAACTTGTAACACACAGAAGTAAAGCTTTAGAAGGCCTCCAAAGCTAAACCACAAAGCCACGATTATAACTTCTTATACTAACGTTTCTAAGACACGTTGCAGAAGATCAGTTCAGAACCTTGACTTTAACAAAACATGTAACCACATGTTTTCTTCCAGAGTGTATGTTTAAAACCCGATGACGTCACACGCCTTGTACCAGAGTCAGAATATTATAGAAGCAGCTACACACTAGATGAAACCATTAGTGTATACAATTTTTCTCTAAGATAACATGTGAAGCTATCACTCAAAATCTCAATGTCAGATGTAGGAAATACTTCTTGTTCTTACAATCTCCCCCTTTTTGATGATGACAAAACCATGTATTTTGATAGAATAATTTATACAGGGTAATTGTAACACCTTAAATTCCCCGACGATTAATAACATAAAAATAGAGTAATATTTTTTTCTTCCAAGACATTTAGGATGCTACATCATCTCAAGACAATCAAAATTTTCTCAAAGTAGTAAAAGGGATACATAACAACTTTCGGATAAACAACAAATACCACAGTCTTAAAAATCAACTTTATTAAGCAGCGAAAAATAATTCAGGTTCGTCATCCAAAACAACTTTAATCCAACATGAATCATAAATCAATTATCCAAGAGTTTAAAACACTCCACACCGAATTTCTAAAACAATGCAAAATAAAATAAGCGTTTATCCCCCAACTCGGTGTTATGTATCAGAGCATAACGCCGACTCTAAAACAAGACTAAAGAGAAACCTCTTCGAACTCTACAACAACAGACTACTCGTGACTATCTGCATGTTACCCACTTAGAAACAACATTCAAACAGAAGGGGTGAGATATCACAATAATATAAAGAAAAGTATAATAATAAGTATACAGAAATATATCATGCATAGTTACTATATCCATATCTCACACCTTCACGTTACAAGCAAAATTAACGATTCATAAACAACCACACACAACATATTTCATGCTAACATTAAGGCATGCAATGAGACACAACACTGACTCTATGCATGAGGTACTGTAATACGGTGGGAGAACTGACTTGGTATTTTGTGTTTTATTGCAAATGTTGCAGATAGCAAGAGTCGCCGCCTACTTTTTTTTATCCAATAAAGAAAAGGGTGAAAAGAACAGGAAAGACCTTTTGAGGATTTTCTTGAGTTTGGGGGGTAAGTTATGAAAAGGGAAGGTGTTAGCACCCTTTTCATCTGTAGTTATCTACGGGCTCTTAATTACTTGATCACTTTGAAATGCTTTGTGTTTGTGTATGTTTGAAAATGTTTGGAAATGTTTTGAAAGTGGTGATTTTATAA